AGGAATTCCAAAAAATTCCCCGAGTATACAGGGTAAATTAGGCCCATGAAGCATGCCCTATTAACGCCATGTAGGCTCTATAAATCTCAACAGCCGTAAGCTTTTAAATAACTTGCCACCGGTGGAAGATATGTTTCCCTGAGGGATTGCCGTTTGCGAACCGCTGTGATAGTAGCCCACTGGTAGTTCTCAAAAGGTCTTGGGCCTACCTAACAGGGAGCTGTGACACCGCTCCTTCCCGCCTCGTGGGCGCCGCACCCTGTGAAGACGCCGAGCGTAGTGACGTCAATACGTTGACGCGTTTCGTCCGCCAATCACCGCAGATTTCGTCAGAACTGGGAGGGGACTTCAGTCCTTTGCCTTATATGGTGCACTAATTGCATACCAGAAAGTCTCCACCTCGCCATCTTGTGTTGAAAGAATATCACTACATTGGGAATATCCAAAAGTGAATTAAAACACATATCTTGAATTTTAAAATGATTGCTGGATGTAGAAGAGGAGCCTAATTACTATAAATCAAATTATCTTCCAAAAGAATGATAAACAGGAGATTATTATTAGCATATTTCACGTTCACATAGGGAAACATCAAAACCAAGTCCAGCTACCAGAATTTCAAAATCAGTCCTATTATTCTATATGCTCACCACCCAATAAGAGTAGAAAAGGTTGAACAATTAGGTTCATATTTTGTCCACAGAGGCCCATATTTAGTTCATATATAGGATATCGCAATGTAGATTATAACTCAGGGTATATAGAGAGTTCAGGGGAATTCATTTCAAAAACACCCCAAAGTTGAGTTCCGTGTTTAATCCAGATGGGGCAAGTGCCCCTAGAGTATAAATCCAGAATTTTTCTTTTTGTAGGAGGACTTTATCAAAATCACCCCGACGAGCCGAAATATTCAGCAGGAAGATCCCTTTTACTTTTAGACCATCTGTTTTACCCCGTGTACTTCTTTAAAGTGTTGCGCCAGTGGGTTCACTTTTTCTCCCTTTCTTACATTCCTATCTTCATTTCTAATGTCTCTCAGATGTTCACCGATCCTAGTCCTAAGGCTTCTTTTGGTTTTACCTATATATATCTTTTTACATGGACATTCTATCATGTATATCATTTTACTACTAGAACAATTAATGAAGCTTCGTATTTGAAATGTCCTAGAGTTATCATTGTTGGAAGTAATAGTACCCCATCATTGGTGTCAGTGGGAGGAATAGTGCCCCATCGTTGGTGTCAATGTAGAAGTAATAGTACCCCATCATTAGTGTCAGTGGGAGGAATAGTGCCACATCATTGGTATCAGTGGGAGGAATAGTGCCACATCATTGGTATGAATGGGAGGAATAGTGCCCCGTCATTAGTGTTAGTGGGAGGAATAGTGTCCCATTATTGGTGTCAGTGGGAGGAATAGTGCTCCATCATTGGTGTCAGTGGAAGGAATAGTGCCCCGTCATTAGTGTCAGTGGGAGGAATAGTGCCCCGTCATTGGTGTCAGTGGGAGGAATAGTGCCACATCATTGGTATCAGTGGGAGGAATAGTGCCACATCATTGGTATCAATGGGAGGAATAGTGCCCCGTCATTAGTGTCAGTGGGAGGAATAGTGTCCCATCATTGGTGTCAGTGGGAGGAATAGTGCTCCATCATTGGTGTCAGTGGAAGGAATAGTGCCCCGTCATTAGTGTCAGTGGGAGGAATAGTGCCCAATCATTGGTGTCAGTGTGGAAGTAATAGTACCCCATCATTGGTGTCAGTGTAGAAGTAATAGTACCCCCATCATTGGTGTCAGTGGGAGGAATAGTGCCCCATCATTAGTGTCAGTGGGAGGAATAGTGTCCCATCATTGGTGTCAGTGGGAGGAATAGTGCTCCATCATTGGTGTCAGTGGAAGGAATAGTGCCCCATCATTAGTGTCAGTGGGAGGAATAGTGCCCCATTGTTGGTGTCAGTGTGGAAGTAATAGTACCCCATCGTTGGTGCCAGTGTAGAAGTAATAGTACCCCCATCATTGGTGTCAGTGGGGAGGAATAGTGCCCCATCATTAGTGTCAGTGGGAGGAATAGTGCCACATCATTGGTGTTAGTGGGAGGAATAGTGCCCCATCATTAGTGTCAGTGTGGGAGGAACAGTGCCCCATCATTGGTGTCAGTGGGGGGAGGGGATTAGTGCCCCGTCATTGGTGTCTGTGGGGTGGGGAATAGTGCCCCATCATTGGTGTCAGTGGGGGGGGGGGTTATAGTGCCCCATCATTGGTGTCAGTGGGAGAAAAATAGTGCCCCATCATTGTGTCAGTGGGAGGAATAGTGCTCTATCATTGGTGTCAGTGTGGGGGGGGAATAGTGTCCCATCATTGGTGTCAGTGGGGGGAGTAATAGTGCCCCATCATTGGTGTCAGTGAGGGGAGGAACAGTGCCCCATCGTTGGTGTCAGTGGGGGGAGGCATAGTCCCCCATCGTTGGTGTCAGTGGGGGGAGGAATCGTGCCCCATCATTGGTGTCAGTGGGGGGAGGAATAGTGCCCCCCCATCATTGGTGTCATTGGGGGGGAAATAGTGCCCCATCGTTGGTGTCAGTGGGAGGAAATAGTGCCCCATCATTGGAGTCAGTGGGGGGGAAATAGTGCCCCATTATTGGTGTCAGTGGGGGAATAGTGCACCATCATTGGTATTAGTGACACCAATGATGGGGAACTATTCCTCCCACTGACACCAATGATACTTACCTTGCTGACCCCTGCTCCAGCCTGGGCTTGCTCCCTCCCTCTCCCATCCACAGCCAGCATACCTGGCTGCAGCAGCACCATCTGAACAGCACAGACACTTACCAGTCAGCTGTCTTTCTTCTCCGGCCACTCTCCTCCTCTTCACTCGCTCCGGATGGGGATGTCAGTGACCCCAAGTCAGTTCCCCCCAGTGTCAGAATGTCCACCGCAGTCCCGCCATAAGTCACTGATTGCCGCCATAAGTCACTGATCGCCACCATTATTAGTATAAAAAAAAATTAAAAATCCCAGTATCTTTCCCACCATTTGTAAATGCTATAACTTTCATGTAAACCAATTAATTTACACGTATTGGGGTTTTTTTGTAGCAAAAGACATGTCGCAGAATGCATTTGGCAGAAATTTATGACTAAATTTGATTTTTAAATTTTTTTTTACTGGACATGTTTTATAGCAAAAAGTCCAAAATATTGTTTTTTTTTCCTCAAAATTGTCAGCCTATTTTTTTTATAGCACAAAAAATAAAAACCGCACTGGCAATCAAATACCATCGAAAGAAAGCTCAATTTGTGGGAAAAAAAGGATGTAAATTTCATGTACATACCATATTGCGTGACCGCGCAATTGTCCGTTAAACTAGCGCAGCACTGTATAGCAAAAAAAATGGCATAAAATTGCAGTATCTATACCATAGTTTGTAGACACTATAACTTCCACACAAAGCAATCAATATACACTTATTGGGATTTTGTTTACCAAAAACATGTAGCAGAATACACTTTGGCCTAAATTTATAAACTAACTTTGAGTTTACTATATATTTTTATAGCTGAAAGTAAAAAATATTGTATTTCTTCAAAATTTTTTGTCTTTTTTTATTTATAGCGTGAAAAATAAAAAGCGCACAGGTGATCAAATACCACCGAAAGAAAGCTCTATTTGTGTGAAAAAAAGGAAATAAATTTTGTTTGGAAGCAGCATTGCATGACCGCACAATTATCAGTTGAATTAGTGCAGCGCTGAGTAGCAAAAAGAGGCCTGGTCATTAAGGGGGGTAAATCCTCAGGAGGACAAGTGGATAATAAAAAAATAATTACAATTTTTTTGTGTATTGGTAAAGGGGGGGGGGGGGGCATCCTGCAGACCTCCACAACCAACAAGCAAGAGTTGAGTTGAAGAAGCCTTTTTCCCGATTAACACTAGGTCCTAGATGACTAGGACCTGGTGCTTTGCCCCCTCCATCCTCCCTGTAATGTAAAAATGTAGCCTTGTATAGTGGGAGGAATAGTGCCACATCATTGGTATCAGTGGGAGGAATAGTGCCCCGTCATTAGTGTTAGTGGGAGGAATAGTGTCCCATTATTGGTGTCAGTGGGAGGAATAGTGCTCCATCATTGGTGTCAGTGGAAGGAATAGTGCCCCGTCATTAGTGTCAGTGGGAGGAATAGTGCCCCGTCATTGGTGTCAGTGAGAGGAATAGTGCCACATCATTGGTATCAGTGGGAGGAATAGTGCCACATCATTGGTATCAATGGGAGGAATAGTGCCCCGTCATTAGTGTCAGTGGAGGAATAGTGTCCCATCATTGGTGTCAGTGGGAGGAATAGTGCTCCATCATTGGTGTCAGTGGAAGGAATAGTGCCCCGTCATTAGTGTCAGTGGGAGGAATAGTGCCCCATCATTGGTGTCAGTGTGGAAGTAATAGTACCCCATCATTGGTGCCAGTGTAGAAGTAATAGTACCCCCATCATTGGTGTCAGTGGGAGGAATAGTGCCCCATCATTAGTGTCAGTGGGAGGAATAGTGTCCCATCATTGGTGTCAGTGGGAGGAATAGTGCTCCATCATTGGTGTCAGTGGAAGGAATAGTGCCCCATTGTTGGTGTCAGTGTGGAAGTAATAGTACCCCATCGTTGGTGCCAGTGTAGAAGTAATAGTACCCCCATCATTGGTGTCAGTGGGAGGAATAGTGCCCCATCATTAGTGTCAGTGGGAGGAATAGTGCCACATCATTGGTGTTAGTGGGAGGAATAGTGCCCCATCATTAGTGTCAGTGTGGGAGGAACAGTGCCCCATCATTGGTGTCAGTGGGGGGAGGGGATTAGTGCCCCGTCATTGGTGTCTGTGGGGTGGGGAATAGTGCCCCATCATTGGTGTCAGTGGGGGGGGATAGTGCCCCATCATTGGTGTCAGTGGGAGAAATAGTGCCCCATCATTGTGTCAGTGGGAGGAATAGTGCTCTATCATTGGTGTCAGTGGGGGGGGGGAATAGTGTCCCATCATTGGTGTCAGTGGGGGGAGTAATAGTGCCCCATCATTGGTGTCAGTGAGGGGAGAAAACAGTGCCCCATCGTTGGTGTCAGTGGGGGGAGGCATAGTCCCCCATCGTTGGTGTCAGTGGGGGGAGGAATCGTGCCCCATCATTGGTGTCAGTGGGGGGAGGAATAGTGCCCCCCCATCATTGGTGTCATTGGGGGGGAAATAGTGCCCCATCGTTGGTGTCAGTGGGAGGAATAGTGCCCCATCATTGGAGTCAGTGGGGGGGAAATAGTGCCCCATTATTGGTGTCAGTGGGGGAATAGTGCACCATCATTGGTATTAGTGACACCAATGATGGGGAACTATTCCTCCCACTGACACCAATGATACTTACCTTGCTGACCCCTGCTCCAGCCTGGGCTTGCTCCCTCCCTCTCCCATCCACAGCCAGCATACCTGGCTGCAGCAGCACCATCTGAACAGCACAGACACTTACCAGTCAGCTGTCTTTCTTCTCCGGCCACTCTCCTCCTCTTCACTCGCTCCGGATGGGGATGTCAGTGACCCCAAGTCAGTTCCCCCCAGTGTCAGAATGTCCACCGCAGTCCCGCCATAAGTCACTGATTGCCGCCATAAGTCACTGATCGCCACCATTATTAGTATAAAAAAAAAAATTAAAAATCCCAGTATCTTTCCCACCATTTGTAAATGCTATAACTTTCATGTAAACCAATTAATTTACACGTATTGGGGTTTTTTTGTAGCAAAGACATGTCGCAGAATGCATTTGGCAGAAATTTATGACTAAATTTGATTTTTAAATTTTTTTTACTGGACATGTTTTATAGCAAAAAGTCCAAAATATTGTTTTTTTTTTCCTCAAAATTGTCAGCCTATTTTTTTTATAGCACAAAAAATAAAAACCGCACTGGCGATCAAATACCACCGAAAGAAAGCTCAATTTGTGGGAAAAAAAGGATGTAAATTTCATGTACATGCCATATTGCGTGACCGCGCAATTGTCCGTTAAAACTAGCGCAGCGCTGTATAGCAAAAAAATGGCATAAATTGCAGTATCTATACCATAGTTTGTAGACACTATAACTTCCACACAAAGCAATCAATATACACTTATTGGGATTTTGTTTACCAAAAACATGTAGCAGAATACACTTTGGCCTAAATTTATAACTAACTTTGAGTTTACTATATATTTTTTATAGCTGAAAGTAAAAAATATTGTATTTCTTCAAAATTTTTTGTCTTTTTTTATTTATAGCGTGAAAAATAAAAAGCGCACAGGTGATCAAATACCACCGAAAGAAAGCTCTATTTGTGTGAAAAAAAGGAAATAAATTTTGTTTGGAAGCAGCATTGCATGACCGCACAATTATCAGTTGAATTAGTGCAGCGCTGAGTAGCAAAAAGAGGCCTGGTCATTAAGGGGGGTAAATCCTCAGGAAGACAAGTGGATAATAAAAAAATAATTACAATTTTTTTGTGTATTGGTAAAGGGGGGGGGCATCCTGCAGACCTCCACAACCAACAAGCAAGAGTTGAGTTGAAGAAGCCTTTTTCCCGATTAACACTAGGTCCTAGATGACTAGGACCTGGTGCTTTGCCCCCTCCATCCTCCCTGTAATGTAAAAATGTAGCCTTGTATAGTTTTGGGGGAGGAAATACCAGCTGTCATTGAAATTTTTGATTTACTGGAAATTGAAATGGTATCTTTTCTTTGCAATTGCCACTTGTGCTACAGTACATTGTTTACAGTAGATCATAGAGGTAATCCACTTCACTAATAGGTTTAAAGTATCCCCCAAGCATTTTTAATTAGAATTTTACCATTTTATCTTTATTATCTTCTGCCAAACCATATTTTTCCCCCAGGGAATTGTCCAGCTCTCCATGTCCTTTGTTTGACAATCCCTTGCCTTGTAGCCCTGAAAATGGTCAAAACTGATTTTAAAGATATATGGCTCCCATTGACTTTAATGTTTGGCTTAACATTCAGAACTTTGTCACAGTTCAGTAATCATCCAGCAAATAGTGATGAGCTGAACTTTTCTGAGTTTGGTTCAGCAGGCATTCTGGGAACTTCAAAGAATTTCAAATGCCAAAACCAACCCTCATTGAAATCAGAAGAAGCCAAATCTGCCAAATTAAAAATGCTTTCTTAAAATGCCACTTTCTAGGCTAATAGACAAGAAGTGTCACAAAATAGCATGGGGGGAAGTGGGCAATGCCCTGGGGAAAAGGGAACATGTACAATTCAAAAAGTGCTTTTGAAAAACAAATTTGGCGAGGGAAAAGTGATTTTTCTAAACATTTAGACTGGAAAATTAAAAATGTCCAATTCCTTTAAATAACATGCCTGGGGGGTGTCCTAATCCTGCCTGTGAAGGGGCATATCTCAATGATGTTTAGAAAGTTTCAAACTTGCTGGTAAATGACTGACAGCTGTCATTTCCAGCTTCTTTGTTTTAAAAAGAATAAGACGGGCCCCTCCAAGGGTCTACTATGTCTTTTGGGAACCTTTGAAGGGGTGTGTTTACTGTTTTTTTTTACACTGCAATTGTATGAAGGCTTCACTTCTTACAGCCCCACAACAGAAGATCTGTACCTACATATAGACCTGTGGTAAACATTGAAAGAACCTGTGCACTGACTACACTGGTCTGGGGTGCAATACAATGCTATACAGACTTCCGTTCAAAATTAGGAAATGCACATCGATCATAAGTTCACTGTTTCTGCATTTATTCCTTTTTTTGCATCAAGTACATTGTGCCTTTAAGCACAGTCCACCTTGTTGTAACAAACTGATAAAACAAAAAAAAAATGTAAAACATGTTGTGATGTTAAAACAATAGCACAAACACAATATAATAGTTTCCATCAGCCTGAGCTCTTCTTGTTTGTTAAATTGATGACCAAAAAATGCCACCAGATGTCACTGCTGAGATTCTTGTGAACACAGTTATACTGAGAAGAGGACACTAAGCCAAGTCAAGGCCACCATGTCATAATAAATGATGTACAATGGAAGAATGAAAACGATGTAAACAATGACATTAGGATAAAAGGATTTGGTATGCTAAAACTATATTGTTGCTAAAAGATAATATAGATAGCTTCTTGAATTACATAGACAATCAAATAAAGACATTAAAGGTGACGGTATAGCCTTCTCAGTGATTTTAATAAATGTGTAAAAAAGATCAGCTTGTAAACAATCACATCATACACATTTGTGTAAAGGCTGAAACACACCTTTGCAGTAGTGTGCATTGCCGTTATGTTGTTAACGCATTGCAATGCCATGCAATGGCACCTCAATGCTCTAAGGCAGTGGTCTCCAAACTGTGGTCCAGGGGCCAGATGCTGCCCTTTGTTTGCTTTTATCCAGCTCTTGGGGCACTTTTTCTTCCACTGATACTAACAATGGGGCATACCCCCCCCTCCACTGACCCCAATGCAGAGGTACAATTTCTCCTATTGACACCAACAATTGGGCTCAGTGACACCAATGTTAGGGAACAATTCCTCCCACTGACACCAAAAGATGGGGCATGTTTTATCCCACTGAGGTTGGAACCTTTCTTCTCCCACTGGCCACAGTCCGGCCCTCTAAAAGTCTGAAGGACAGAAAACTGGCCTTTTGTTTAGAAAGTTTGGAAACCCCTGCTCTAAGGCAATGCAGCTCTAATGCACATGAGTTGCAGCACACCACCATAATGAAAGGCAATGAAAACCTGCATGAGTACATTATTATTATTATACAGGATTTATATAGCGCCAACAGTTTGCTGAGCACTTTACAATATAAAGGGAGATAATACAGTAACAATACAGTTCAATACAAGAGGCTTAGGAGGGCCCTGCTCCTTGGAGCTTACAATCTAAGAGGGAGGGGCTAGTGGTACAAAAGGTAGTAACTGTAGGGGATAGACTGGTAGGAGGAGTAGAAGATTCCAGTATTAGCTGAGGGCAGGATAGGCTTCCCTGAAGAGATAGGTTTTCAGAGATCACCTAAAAGTGAGCAGAGTAGGCGATAGTCTGATAAATTGGGGTAGAGAGTTCCAATGGATGGGGGAAGCTCTGGAGAAGTCCTGGAGACAAGTATGGGAGGAGGAAACAAGGGAGCTAGAGAGCAGGAAGTTGTGCGAGGAGTGGAGAATACGGTTTGGGTGATATTTGGAGACAAGATTGGTGATGTAGTTTGGGGCAGAGTTATAAATGACTTACATACTGTACATAAAATGCAAGTGAAAACAAGAAACCTTGTTGTTATATATAAAGGTAAAACATGAATTACATTTGTGCTTGGGGACAACCGTACTTCCTGATTAAATATGGATGCTCTAAGGGGCATATTTGTAAATGTGATGATCAATACAGATTAACCACTTTCCCGCAGCCCTATAGCAAATATACTGCAGCAATGCAAAGCAATGTACTTACACAGTGAAAGACACACAGCACACAGTAAAACAGCACACAGCAAACAGTTAACCCTTTGATTGTCCCAGATGTTAACCCCTTCCTGCCTAGTGTCATTAGTACAGTGTCAGTGCTTTTTATTAGCACTGATCACTGTATCAGTGTAACTGGGGATGTCAGTGACAGTCAGTCCCCCCCCCCCCCCGGGAGCGTCAGAACGGCCGCGCAGTACTGCTGTAAGTCACTGATCGATTGCTAGTATTAAAAAAAATTCCAGTATATATACTGCCTTTTGTGGATGCTTTAACTTTCACATAAACCAATTCATTTACGCATATTGGGGTTTTTGTTTACCAAGACATGTAGCAGAATACATTTTGGCCTACATTTATGACGAAATTTGATTTTTTAATTATTTTACTGGACATATTTAATAGCAAAAAGTCAAAAATATTGTTTTTCTCTCATATTTGTTTTTTTTTGTTTATAGTGCAAAAAAATTAAAAATGCACAAGCAATCAAATACCACCAAAAGAAATCTCCATTTGTGGGAAAAAAGAACATACATTTCCTCTGGGTGCAGTGTTGCATGACCGTGCAATTGTCAGGTAAAGTAACAGCATTGTATCGCAAAAAAATGGCCTGGTCAGGAAGGGGGGTAAATCCTCTGGAGGGCAACATACATCACATCTAATTTAAAGTGGTATTAAAACCAAAACTGTAATATTTTTCAGCTTACCAATC